GCACACGTGTGGGTGGCACACGTGCACCCTGCTCCCTTCTCCCCTGCTCCCCAACATGTTAATGTTGCATGAATTAAATTAACTGTTAAGGCCCAAATTTTCAAACTATGGGCGTAAGTTCTGGGTCCTAAATACATAGCCCTACAACAGCACAATAGTACAGGATGATTTGCATGATCCTTAAGGCACTTGCAGCTCTCCTTGGCATCCCTCAGAAATAAGGTTGCATGACACCTTTGAAAATCAAATGACTCCTATTTAAGTAGTTCTGGGTCATGCCCTAAACGCTTCTTATGGTCCTTTTAAAACACTCCAGCATACAGGAATCAGTGGTATACTTAAGAGCCTGTGCAGCTCCTCCTTTTCCCCTGCAACACCTTTGTAGCCATATGGAGTGGCAGTAGGTGGCTATAGGCCACACAAGGCCTCATTTGCATTAGAGAAATCCCCTACCCTATGGCCTACAGCGTACCGTTGTTCAACCAGATGGTACAAAGAAGCCTTAGACTGAAGTGGCTAACCTGTGGCACAGGGAGTCTGTGTCTGGTATGCAGTAGATTAGAGAGGGGGCAGGCAGCAAAGTAGCAAAGGCCAGGACACAGAAAGCAGAGCAACAGAGCAGGTGGGAGCACAGAATTGGGACCAGAAAATGAAGGTGCAGCTTGGACAGAGGAAAGGGATCAGAGTGGCACTCAGGGAGGGTGTGGGGCTACTTTGTGGCACACCTGCCAAAAATGCTGGTCCCCACTGCCCTAGACAGTCAGGCCTAGGATGTCCAACTTAAATGGGCCATTGGCTCTTGGACTCCAACTTGAAAATAACAAAGCTCTTACATATGTGCAGAACTTGGGTGTAAGGAGGGTGGCTTTGCAAGGTAAGGCATCCTGTAATTATGCTTAGGCTGACTGTTGTCACCATGCAGTCCCAAAGAAAGAACTTGTGTCCACCTTTGCTATGGCTGCTTGGCCAGTAAAGTGGTGTTGACTGCTATTTTTAACCAAAGGTAATGGGGATGTGTATGCTCCTGCCTGTGTGCCACAGTCCTCAAGTGCATCTATCTAGTCAGCATAACCTCAGGGAGAAGGGTCTGGACCATCCTAACCAGCTTCCTTTTCATGTACAGACACCATTTACTCTCACCTTGCGGCTGTGGGATATCTACATCCTGGAAGGAGAGCGGGTTCTGACATCTATGGCTTACACCATCCTCAAGCTGCACAAAAGTAAGGTATTCAATAGGATGACTCAACTTTTCTGTGTGGCACAGGTGATCCCATTGTGAAGAGCCTGGGATTTGGGTTTTAGAATTTAACCTCCATAGGCAGAAGGGTTTATGAAAAGAAAATCCCAGCATGGCTCTGAAAGTCTTTCTCATGCTCTAATTGGTCTCCTAGAGTTGCATTCATTCATACCATGCCTGAACTTAGCTCATTTTTGGTTGACGATGAGGCCTCACTATTGATTTTTATTTTCCTGTCATTGGATTCACTTAAATATGGTACCACAGCAACCTCTGCTGGGTACCACAGAAGGATGCAGCTTTTCGCATCCTCTCAGCAGGCCCTGGTTGGAACTCTGGTTCAGGCAGATGCACAAGCATTGGTTGGTTGCAGTTTGAACCCACGGTGTGCTGTTCCCACTCCAGCAAAGGAACATCTCCTCTGCTGAGGCAGTAACACAGAAAACATTCCCCTGTGTTGAATTGTTCCACCCAATGTATACAGCTGTGTACAGTATGTGACACATTGTTCTGCCGCCAGCTACTCTGTTTGGTACATGTGAGCATGTGAGAGAGTTTCCCTTTGAAGTATTTCAGGAGGATTATAAAGACCTTTTTAAGATGTTAGCGGACCTATTTTTATTTTCTATGCCTCCCCCTGCAAAATTGTGTTTCTTAGTTCAATTTAATAGGAGTCAGAGGGAGAAAGAAAAATGTGTGAACTTTTTTTAAACTTAAAAAAGCTAAAATAGCTTTTCTCTAAATAAAAACTATCACTGCCCTAACATTAGGTTTCCTGAGACCCTCAGGACTTCGTGGGGCAATTCCTGGTGGTCTCACTGGGAAGCCAGAAATCTCCTTTTCCTTGGTGCTAATTTTTCTTTGCATCCCTGGTGGGTCATAAGATTGAGACTTGATCTCAAACCTGTGACTGGGCAAGGAGTGAAGTATTGTGGGGGCCTGGAGCCTGTGGAATTGTTTCAATAGAGGAGGTTAAAAAAAAAGGGAGGGTGCAGAAGTTTAAAGCTGCTCTGAAATGTGAAATATTGCAAATCAGGCAAGTGGGCAGGCTGCAGATGATATGATCAGAGTTACATGAGAGTGCTATTTATTAGAGGCCTGTCATATGACGATCACTTTTAGATTGGTGGGGTGCAACTTGTGACTGGCTCTGTGCAGCTTGTCTGCACATTCACATCTGGAAATATCCATTCCAAGCTTATGGTACTTTTTATTAAGATAACCTTCTTGGCAATTAAAAATATACAGGACCTGGGTTATGCCTATGAAGGGAACAAAGAGGAAGGCTGGGAAACGGAAGCCTTGATACACTGTGGGGTAGGATTGGTAGCCCACTGCAGTCCTTCTTGTGATGTCACGGATGACTGTCAAGTCATCTGTTTGATACCTGAATAGTGGAAAGCACTAGTTCTGAGGAGCTGCCCTGAATGGCCCTAGGCTAGGTCCCTGTGTTGCATTACTTGTCTCGGCAGCACACATAGTGTGCAGCCATACTCCCCCTAGCGGTGTAAAAGAGAACTCTCACAAACAGTCGTGAAACACACAAGCACTTCCCCCCCCACCTGTCCCCATGAATCGAGCCGAGACCCTGATTTTATAGTATGCAAATGTGCTTGCCTTTAACCGTATGACTGATCCTGTTCATGTCACCAAGAACTGCATCCGAACAATGCTGCACATGTTAATTGACTCTCACCAGACCTGGGACTCAAGTTCACTTGAGAGAAAGAACCACAAACAGCCCCTGAGAGAAGGAAACCCTCCTTTGACATGCATTGTTTCTTCTTCCCCAGATATTAATTTTGACATGTAAGCAACTTCCCTGCTGTTATTAGCTTTAAAACAGCTGATCCAGTCAAATATACTCTGCACCTAGCTGGGTTAGCCAGAAAAAAATCTAATTGTGGTACTATGATGGCCTCTTATTGCACTGCGCTTTCTACCTTCCACTAGAACGCTTGCTGAAGATGTCCCTGGAAGACTTACGTGAATTCCTACAGGAGAAAATTTCTTCATCTCTGCACTATGAAGATGACGCTGTTATCGAACAACTGCAAGTGTCCATGGTCGAGCTGCGCAAAGCAAAATTTGACCTTCCGCCTCCAGGTAGGTCTAGCATGAAGCCAGCATTAATTCCATAGGTTCCCTACAGCCTGGGATGAGGCCAACCTGTTGGAATTATTAACCCCTTTTTGCCAGTTCTTACCATATCCTTCAGACTAATGGAGTTTTTGCTAACCCTGGGCAGCCATCAAAGGCTGACTGCTGTGTGGTATACAGGGGATGACATGGTCCTGCTGTCCCATTCCATTTGAGATCTGTCACAGACAGGGTGATCTGGGGCACAGGTGAATTTGTGTCACTGCTCTGGTTTAAGGCCAAGAGTTTCTCTGGCAATGTGAGGCTGGATTTGTCAGAAAAGCCAAGCACCCAGCTCTGGCAGCTGTCACTAGAAACCCATCACTGCTGGTCTGAACGTTGCAGTTGGAACTGAACTCTTGAAAATTTGGCTCCTGGAGTGATTTGTCAGTTGTGATTTTTCACCCTGAGTTGTGTGTGCATGTGTTTGTGTGTGTGCATGCATCTGCTGCTCCCAGCCACGTCATTGCTCAGGACACTCAGTATCTTTACATGTTTGAATAGAAGCAGAGGTTGTACCTGCAGCATGTGCGTGCTGCCGTAATTAATCAGGGTCCCCGTGTGCACGAACTTCCCAGTCATTAGCCTCTGTCATGCCAGTGAGAAGTATTTTGTGTGTCATGCAGGGTTAGGGCTGCCATGGTAACTGCCCTCGAGGTGAGTGACTAGAGCCCCGTCTGCATAAATCCTTCGTTAGGCACAATGAGGAGGAAGTCTCCTAGTACAGAATAAATGAAATGTTCATTAGCTGCCTAGAGACACTACACCCTGACCCCACCAGTAAGGCGAAGAACAGTTTAGAGGCACTGCATGTAGTCTTCAGTTCTCTCCCAGTTCATTTTGGTTCATTCCTCTATCAGATGGAAACTAGGAACTGCCCAAGGGCCATGGGGTTCTGCAGACTTCATGTCAGGGAGGGTTGGAGCTAGTTTGACTTTAATCCAAGCTCCCAGAGTTAGGGAGCGAATATCTGAACAGGCAAGTGATTCTGGTCTAATGGACAGCCACAGCATAACACAACACCTAACTCCATACTATTAAGCCCCAACAGAACAAAAAATTTTGTTGTTAAATGAGCCCTGCTAGAGATTTCCTTTTATACACTATAGAGGACCTGCATTAAAGCATGCCTTTTTCTCCATTGCAAGTTAGTGTTAAGCATAACAATCCCAGCTTCTATAACTACCCTATGAAATAGCCAACACGTTAATGACTCAGAGACCCATTCTGCTGGTCAGATAGTATCACATTTGGTGAGAAGCCCATCTAAATCTAAATTGATTGCTGCATTTGTGTTACTATAATTTCATTAAGGGGAGGAAGTGTTCAAGCTTGGAAGTGATAGGGATGCTCTGAGTCAAATCCTGACATTCCTAATTTAGGAAGAAGGCAACTGGACCAGAGCTAGCCACAGAAGGACTAATTGGTGCTGTCTACATCAACAGAGAGTCAGGCTTGGACTCTTGACAGTACCCAAAGGGATGGGCTGCATAAGTCCCTTTGATACACAGGCACCTAACTCCCTTAGGATTCCTCTCCCAGCAAAATAATCATTAGTAGAAAAGAAACTGTGCCTGGAAACAAGACATTTAAATGACAGAGGGTGAGGGTGGCCCTGGTAGAACATGAGGATACTGAGCTGGGATTCTGTCAAGGCATCTGTGTAGTTTAAAGGCTCTGCTGTGTGACAGACGAGTCACAGGCAGATGGGCTCAGGAAGATGAATGAATGATCCACCATCATTGTCTCTCACCTGCGGCTTGTGTTGAACAACTAGATAGTTTTTTCCTGAACAGCTGATGTTAACAAGGTAAAATCTGAATCCCTGCCACTAGCTCATGGTAAGGGCTTAGGAAAGGACTTACTGAAAATGAACTAACCTGTGCTTGTTTGGCTTTTTCTTTTCTCTGTAGCAAAGCCTGAAGAATTCCCAAAGAAGCCACTGGGACTGGAGCTTTCTTTAAATCTCATGGCAGTGAAGCCCAGCATTGCAGCCAATGGCCAGAATAAAACAGTGGGTGACCTCAGTCCAGAAAGAGATGCAAAGCAGTCACTGCCAAACAATAGCTCCATACATCTGAATGATATTACCTGCAATGAGACTGTGGCAATAAAGGACAGGACCCTTGCACTCCAGCAGGATGGATCTCCCTCCCCAGCAGCAGCAGCAGCAGCCACCACAGACATGCATCAGGATCCATTAAAGGACCACGAGGAAACCCAGCAAGGAGGGAAAAAACAGGTGGAACCACCAAAGGAAGTGGCTAGTGAAAGCCCATCACAGGAGTTGTCTTTGCCAGAGGAGAATGAAATTCAGGCCCTCCTGGAAAGCCAGGAGGTACCTGCAGTGAGCAGGATGACTCCCTCCCAAGAAGATCCTCAGGTTCTTAGTGCTGGGAGATGTAAAGAGGACCTGCAAGAAAATTCTCCCTCTCCTGATGTTGGCAACACATGCTGCATTGTTTCTTCGGCTGCTCAGTTACAGACACTGCCACAAGAACAGCCTGATGTGGTAGCAGTGGACAGCTTGGCTAGTGAGATGGGTGAGCCAAGCCAGAACCCCCAGGGAGATTTGCCCATTGATCACAACCACACGTCAGCAGGAGGAGAGTCCCCAGAGCCAACACCATCTCTCCCCTCCCTCACGGAGCAGAGCTCCTTGGAATCCACCATTCCAAATGTGCCAAGCCCTCAAGACACGAGCACCACCACCTCCTCTGTGGATATACCAGAAGGAGTTGCTCCACCCTCTCTGGAAGAACAGCCGTGGCCTCCGTGTCCAGAGCTCTTCCCACCATCAGAACAGGATCTTGCTCCTCAGGCTTTGCCAGAGGAAGCGCAAGCGCCTCTCATGGGCATGGAGAAGACTCTGGTAACTCTCCCTCTTCCTCTCCTGGATGGAAGGCGACGGCCTTCTAATGTGTCTCAGTATGATAACTTTCCTGAGTGGGAGAGCAGAGAGGACAAACCTTCTGGGCAGGCGTCCAGCATGGAGAAACTCAGTGGCATAATGCCACATGAGAAACTGGATCTCAAATGCTCGGTACCCAAATCAGCATCCGTGGGTGAGATTGCAGATCTGCAGAGGCACGCACATGGGTGCGGAGACTCAACCCAGCAGCCCCTGGGGCTGGGCTGCTCAGCCTTCAACTCCCTCCCTCACCAAAGGCCTTCTGGCAGCAGTGGCAGTGTGCCAGTCTTACCTACACTTGGCCCCAGAGTGGTTCAGCTGGCAGAGGGTCTCCATTCCCACCATATGTCATCCCCAACCCTGAAGGAGCAAAACAGCCCCTATAAAATTGTAAAGACCACCACCCCACTTCATTTGGCTCATGCCACAGAGCAAGACTGCTTGAACAGAAAGCGAATGGCGCTGCCTTTGCAAGAGGCTAGCCCTCGTGTGGCTGCTGCCTCTAGGGCAGATGATGGAGGGGCCCTTCCTCCCACAGCAGAACTCAAGGCTGTGGCTGCCAAAAAGACTGTCCAGACAGCAGTAAATGCGCTGAGGGACCCACGTCCCCCTCTCAGCCCAAAGCCAAAAATACCACCCAAGATTGCCAAAACCCATTCGGAGAACAGTTTTCATCTGCCCCCTTGGCCCCCAGCACAAATGTCCAAATCAGAGTCATTTTAGCAGGGCTAGAGAGTGAAGAGAGGACTCTCATCATGTTACCTTGTCTGTTCTAGAGACAGCCTGAAAATAAGGTTTGCCTCTAAAAGGCAACGCAGCCCAGGGTAGAGAGAGGAGGCGATGGCAGGTTGGGTTGTGCTAGGTACGACTGCCTGGGGCAACGCTAAGTTGGACAGGAGTGGGAATTGTTCTCAGTATTACAAATGTGCTGGTACCAGGAGGCGGTTAAAAAATATCCGTGCTTTCTTTTCTATGAACAAATCACAAAGTGCTTTCAATTTTTTTTTAATTCCCATCATTCATATGGTGAGAGAGAGAGGCAAAGCTGGTCAATCTTTTCTCCAAGAAAAGATCTTTGGGTCATGGCCCTGAGTTTAGTTTCTGTAAACACAAGAACAGCCCTGACGCAGAGAAGTCTGAATCGTTCTTCCAGGCAGACAGGAAGCACTGGAGAGAGAAGAGAGGCTTTCTTTAGAGACGGACAAGGGCTCGGTCAGTGTGGCCGGTAGCATTTCTTTCGATGCCTTTGCAGCAATAGATTTGTTTGGCGTCCTTGTATTTTGCAGCTTTCCACACAAGGTTTTGGTAGTCTCAGCCAGGGAGCCAGCCTTCTGTAATGTCTATGCAATAGTCAGCTTTATGCCAGGTGTCCCATGGAGCACTGCTTTGCATCTGTGCATCCTCTCACTGAGAGTGAAGTGGGGCCGTGGAGCCTGCCCCTCCTTGTTCTCCAGCCCCCTGCGTACAGGAGATTTCCTGAAGGGGATCTGAGTGCTCTGTGCAGATGACTTCCACTGTCCTCAGTTGGGGTTTTGTAGTGTTACACCAAAGGAAACTCAGAAAGCCAAGTTCCTTTCTGCTGCAAGAGGAGGCTGAGGTGGGCAAGTTGACTAAGCCATGCCCCTCCCCATGATAGGCTCAGACGGGTTCACTGAACACACACTGTTTCCTTGAATCCCCATGGGTGATGAAAGGCTGGATCTCAGCTGCTGTGAGTTCTCCAATAGCCTATCTGCTGTCCTTTCCTCCGGGCAGCGAGGATGATGTGCTGGTATACTGCCTTACAGCTGATGAAAAGAGAAGTAAGGAGGCTGCTGCCATGGTCAGTTACTAACCCCCATATAAGTGGGTTAATAAGATGGGGGTAGTATTTCCATCAGTAAATGGTGGAGGTACTGTGTTTTCTTCCATATGACACACATCTTTTCCCTCCCCACAAAATCAGCTTGCCAGAATTGGGGTGCATGTTTTAAGTGGGGAAGCTGTTTTCTTTGCTGGAAAAGGAGCCTGCCCAGAGACACTGTATAGACCACCCAGCTGTCAAGACGGCTGCCACTTGTGTCTGCTCATCACACTGAAAGGGCAGC